ATATAATGACATTCAACAGTGTGACACTTTATGCTTCATTGGTAGATATTGCTTCATCGGTGGAGATTCTAGGAGTTTCGAGATCTACTTTAACATTAGCACTTTTCTGTTTATGATACTTCAACAGCTGTAAAATGTTTTCAAACATTCTGACTATCTTTGCGCCCAATCACCTACAAAAATATGAAACAGAAAAAATAACGATGGGGAGACTTGAGGGAATTTCCAGAAATTCACGCCATACGGCAGCTAATTCGGTGAAGGTTCATCGATGAATAAATCATTGTTTCTCTTCTAGTATCTGTCTTCAAAATTTCTAAATGAAATGTTAGCGTAAGGCAACTCTCTTACAAAAATGTTTCAACATTTCACCATATAAGTCTGTTTGCAACACATTGTAAAGCCTTCAGAATGATGATCCTTGTCTTTTCGTCTGTATCAGACAAGAGGAGCACTTACAATAACCAGACTGACGTCACCAATTTGCATGAAATATCGGTAAAGGAAAACAAGAGCTACCTAGCGAGAAAGGTATGCAAAGATTTACTTCAAGTAATTAAGTGCTGGGAATTCCGTAGTTCCCTAATAAGATTTTGGTGAAAACTTCAAATAAATTTGTGACAGACTACTATTGCTCAAGATGGCGTTTCCCATGACCTTTTATGATAGAAGGTAGCGGAAGCGGATTAGAGCATATCTTTAGAAACAGTAAGGCAATATCTTGCACATAAAAGGTGGGAACGATAACAAAAGGACATAATAGGTGCAAGAAGTGATTATTGTCAAAATGACGCTGGATGACAACTCTTGCGAGGTCAACGGAAAATAATTTGATTTTTCTTTGAAACTGCCTGACATTATATCTAGATATACGATCATATTTCAACGAATCAAAACGGCAAACCTCGAGGTCGGGATGAGTTTTCTTCAATGCCATCCACCTTGCATCTCTGTAGAACTGCAAAAGATACCTTATAAGTCATCCCAAATTTCAAGTGTTATGCACAGGCCAACATAGCGCTACAACTGCCTTTGTGATTGTGGTTTCTTAGCATGCATAACCCACCATGGACAGGGTTTTCCAATCTAGCAATTCACTTAGACGTTCAGTGCGATTGCGTACGATGATTCTCTGACGACGCGATAAACATCTGAATGCGAACATTGCAGTCATACTGTCTGTAGTCACTATTTAAGGCACTGAATCAGTAGGAAGAACGACGGTTCCGTAAGTTTCACACATTGCACGGCTATCAGTACTTGAAAAAGTTCAAGAAATTACTCACGTGAATTCGTATAGACCATCAGCGAGCTCGTTAATGGATTCATCTGCACCCTTGAAACGACGATCTACCACTTGAATGCCGTAACTCTTTGCGTCGGCTACATGCTCATTGATGAAACAACCAAATCCGCTCAGATTTGTCGTCACTGATGGAACTCCCATTACAGTGCATTCAGCTGCAAGTATATCAGCTTAATCAGGTACTCTACAACCTTTCAATTTTCTGGGCAGAGACACAACGTTGAGAGACAGAAACATTGCACCGCGGATATCATCCAGGTGTAAAAATTATTTTTGAAACTTCAGATGCTCATTTCAATCTCTTTGCGTTTCACTACTGCTCTATTCTTTACGTTTGCTTCTTGGAGAAGTTAGGGTAGACAGGTCTATAAAGCTTTCGCAGGATCTGCATAGTCAAAGCTTGATTTTAGCTCGCCGTAATTTAGCGATGATGAAACTTCAGATCCTAGATTTGTAGTAATTACATCCTCAGCGACGATCCTGTATCATAAGCTTTGAAATCATGAGATAACGCCCTCAACCTTCGAAAAAAATTCAAGGTTTTGGGTACATTCTTGCTAAAAGATACATACG